GTGTCCTCCTCGGAAAGACAGGCGCGTCCTTTCCACGACTCGCAGTGTGGCCACTCGCAGACGGTCTGGATCTGACATCCTCTGGTGGGGTGCACAAGGCCACGATGATGTGTCCTCCTGGGGTAGACATACCCGCAGCCAGTACTCGCAGAGTGGCCGCTCGCACATGGTCTGGGCCCGCCATCCTCATTTGGGGTGCGCAAGTCCATGCCGGTGCGATGGGTCCTCCTCGGGTAGACAAGCGCGTTCCACAACTCGCAGGGTAGCTACTCGCGAATGGTCTGGATCCGCCGCCCTCAAGTGGGGCGCGCAAGGCCGCGCCGGTACGACGCGCCCTCCTCGGAAAGACATTCGCGTGCCACCGCTCGCAGAGTAACTACCGCAATTTATCTGGTACAACGTGTCCTCCCGGGATGGATAGGCGCGTTACACGACTTGCAGAAAAGCTCGTCGCAAATGCCCTGCATCCGCAATCCTCCAGCGGGGTGCGCAGGGCCATGCAAGTACAGTGCGCCCCCCTTGGATAGACTAGCGCGTTCCACGACTCGCAGAGTAGACGATCGAAAATGAATCCGCTACCCTCAAGTGGGGTGCGCAAGGCCGCGCGGGTAGGCTGTCCTGCTGCGATAGACCAGCGCGTTGAACTACCCGCAGAGTTGCTGCTCGCAAATGGTCTGGGCCCGCCATCCTCAAACGGGGTGCGCGAGGCCATGCCGGCACGCTGTGTCCTCCCGGGGTAGACAAGCTCTTTCTCATTAATCGAAGAGTGGCCCCTCGCAGAATGCTCTGGGTCAGCCATCCTCAAGTAGGATGCGCAATGCCATGCTGGTAAGATGAGTCCTCCTCGAATAGACAGGCGCGCCCCCCTACTCGCAGAGTGGGTACTCGCAAATGGTCCGGGGCCGCCATCCTGAAGTGGGACGCACAGGGCTGCGCTGGTACGATGCGTCCTCCTGGGGTAGACAAGCGCGCACCACTGCGCAGTGGCCGCGCGCAGAATGCTCTGGTTCAGCCATCCTCAAGCAGGGCGCGCAAGGCCGCGCTGGTAAGATGTGTCCTCCTCGGATAGGCAAGCGCGTTCCCCTACTCGCAGAGTAGCCGCTCGCAAATGGTGTGGTTTCGCCATCCTCAAGCGGGGTGAGCGAGGCCATGCTGGCACGAGGCGCCCTCGTCGGATCGACAAGCACGTTCTACTGATCGCATAGTAATTACTAACAAATGGTCTGGGTCCACCATTCTCAAACGGGGGGGGGGTGGGAGGGGCCGTACCCGTACGATGTGTCCTCCTGGGATAGACGAGCACGCCCCACTGCCCGCCGAGTGGCCAATAGGAACATCGTCTAGGTCCGCCATCAGCAAGCGGGATGCGCAAGGCCACGCTGGTTCGCTGCGCCCTCCCGGGATAGAGAAGCGCGTTCCACTACTCGCAGGAGTAACTACTCGCGAGTGGTCTGGGTCCGCCATCCCCAAGTGGGGTGCGCAAGGCCACGCTGGTACGACGTGTCCTCCTCGGATAACCATGCGCGCCCCACCGCTCGCAGAGTAGTTTCTCGCAAACGGACAGGATCCGCCATCCCCAAGTAAGGTGCGGAAGGCCATGCCGGCACGATGCGCCCTCCTGGGATAGACAACCGCGTTCCACTACTCGCAGGGTGGCGACCCACAAATGGCCTGGAGCCGCCAAGCCATGCTGGTACGATGTGTCCTCATCGGGTAAACATGCGCGCTTCACCACTCGCAGGGTGGCAACTCGTTAGTGGCCTGGGCCTGACATCCTCAAGTGGGGTGCGCAAGGCTGTGCTGGCTCGATGCGTCCTTCTGGGGGTAGGCAGGCGCGCCTCAATACTTGCAGAGCTGCTGGTCGCAAATGGTCTGGGTCCGCCATCCTCACGTGGAGTTCGCAATGCCACGCTCGTGCGATGTGTCTCCCTGGGGTAGACAGGCGCCTTCCACTACCCGCAGAGTAGATACTCGCAAATGGTTCGGGGCCGCCATCCTCAAGCGGGGTGCGCATGGTCATGCTGGAACGATGTGCCCTCCGAGGATAGACAAGCGCCCCCCACTACTCGTAAAGTAGATAGTCGCAAATGGTCTGGGTCCGCCATCCTCAAGTGGGGTGCGCAAGGCCATACTGTTACGATGTGCCCTCCTGGGATAGACGTGCGCGCTCCACTGCCCGCAGGGTAGCCACTCTGGACTGGTCTGGGTCCTCAAGTGGATGCTTGCAAGGTCATGCTGGTGCAGTGTGTCATCCTCGGACAGACAAGCGCTTTCCATTACTCGCAGGGTAGCTACTTTCAAATGGTCTGGGTCCGCTACCTTCACATCAGGAGCAAGTCCGCACAAATACGATGTGTCCTCCTCGGGTCGACAAGCGCGTTCCGCGACCCTCAGAGTAGCTACTCGCCAATGGTCTGCGCCCGCCATCCTCCAGTGGGGTGAGCGAAGCCATCCTGGTACGACGTGATCTCCTCGGGAAGACAAGCGCGCTCCACTTCGCAGAGCAGCTACTCGCGAATGCCTTGGGTCCGCCATCCTCAAGTGGTGCGTGCAAGGCCATACTGGTGCGATGTGCCCTCCTCGGATAGACAAGCGCGGTTTACTACTCGCAGGGTAGTTACTCGCAAGTGGTCTGGGTTTGCCATCCTCTAGTGGGGTGCGCAAGGCCATGCTAGTACGATATCTACCTCGGATAGACGAGCGCACTGCACTACTCGCAGAGTAGCTACTCGCAAATGCATTGGGTCCGCCGTCCTCAACTGGTTTGCGCAAGGCCATACTAGTACGATGTGTCCTCCTCGGATGGACAAGCGCGTTCCAACACTCATTAATTAGCTACTTGCAAATGGTCTGGGTCCGCCATCCTCAAGTGGGGTGCGCAAAGCCATACTAGTACGATGTCCCCCTCGGATTGACAAGCGCTTCCCACCACTAGCAGAGTAGCTACTCGCAATTGGCCTGGATCGGCCATGGGGGATCTACGATACACTACGTCGGGGCAGACAAATGATTTCCGGCCGATTGCGAATAGGCACTCTGCGAGTAGTGGACCGCGTTCGGTGGTATGCGTCTTCAGAGGAGGCGCGCGCCCGACCCGATCATCTAGTATAACCATCTTGTAATAGATCGTTTCCCGAGCGGGTACTGCCGGTAAACGCTGGCCACGAAACAAATACTAGAAGATTTCTCGGCGCGCGCGTTGCCCCAGGGGGGGGGGCTACGAAAACATAGAGTTAATATGTAGGGGTGACGCCAACCGGCATCAGGCCATCACAGCGGCCGCAGTGGGCTCGATCCCCACGAACCCCTGGTCGGGACGGAGCCCTTTCGGCTGCCCGCTCCGGGACCGAACGGGCTCAAAAAAAAACTCTGGGGGGATGCTCCCCTTACTCCGGAACGCCGTCGGGCTGCCTGGCGCTCCCGACGCGCCAGCTTCTCCTTCTGCTTCCTCTCCTCCTCTGCGTTCGTTTCCACCTCCTCCTCGTCCTCCTCCTCCTCCTCCTCCTCTTCCTCCTCCTCCTCCTCCTCCTCCTCCTCCTCCTCCTCTTCCTCCTCCTCCTCCATTCCTTTTTCTTATAAATAAATTATCCCTGTCGCGCCCCGAGGCCAATTTTTAGGGCGGGCCGGGGATTTCGTCTGAGACTTCCTCACCATGACTCTGAAGCTCAAAAATTGGAAACCAATTCACACATGGAGGGCGGGTAGTTTTCAACATGTGACTCTCGCCTTAGCGCCGCGCGCACTCTGTCTAAACAGTTGCGAGAGCTTCACGGATTGAGGATAAACCGTTTTCAAAGTTGGCTCTCGCCATAGCGCCGCGCACATTCGCTCTGCCAAGATGCACGGGTTTCACAGATTCCCACGATCAACGTACCAGAAACTGTGTTTTGGAAGGGTTCAGGATTTCGCGGGTACACCAGTTACGGTGATTCGCGGTGTTGGAATCCCACGAGTGGTGTTCTGGCTCGATCCATGATCGTCAAGGCGGAACGGTCAGGTTGATCCGTGGCGTTGGAATCCCGAGAACGATGTTTTGGCATGATTCAGGGTCTTCAAACGGTTGTCTCCCAACGAGGCAAATCCATCAATGAAAATGAACAGTTGTAGGGGCCTATGAAGAGGGAGCTTGGAGGGAGGGTGTATTCCAACATCGTTGGTGGCTCTTGGGTTTACGTTGGTCCTCCTTCTCCTTCTCCTCCTCCTCCTCCTCTTTGCACCGCCTCGCCCCCCCTCGCCCCGTCCTCCTCCTTCTGCTGCCCGCCCTCGCCGAGGGAGAGTGGAGGAGGAATGACGACCTCCCTGCCCTCGTCCGCCTCGCCTGTCGGATGCAACTCAATGCGCACAGCATCGACCGTGTGCGCAAGCACAACAGTCACATCGACAACACTGCCTGCAGTGCCACATCACGCGCAGCTTCTCCTATCTTGCTATGTGCGCTCAGTTGCCCGCGCGACGCACTCGTCACGAACATCAAGCCGCCGATCTGACGTAGCACGACAATGCAACCGCTAGTACAGCAACGTCAGAATGAATCAGGAATTCCTTCCGAGTATGACGACAACCTCTTGTCAGAAGAGCGCACATCCCAAACCCTGGACCATCACAAACACCCTCGCCCTCCTTGGCTCAACCTCATTGTTTCCGAAAAAGAACCGACGGCGTAAGCAGATTTACATGTCTCCGCAAGGCCGTCTCGATGCCTTGGCTTTGAGCGCGCCCGCTAGATTGTAATGCGCATCGCCCCATGATGGACATACGTAAGACGTCCCAAGGTGTCCCCACAGCCTTGGTCAGTGGTCTTGCCGGCCACACCCCGACCCGCAAGTGGGGTGAAAACGACCGCAGGTAGAATAAGTGCCTCATGCCAAGCAATGCCAAGCTATGCAAAGCTACGCCAAGCAATGCCAACCAGTGCCAAGCAATGCAAAGCAACGCAACGAAATCCAAAGCAATGCCAAGCAATGCCAAGCACTGCGCCCATGCAAAGCAAAAGGAAACGTTTCTCTACTTGGGATCGCGCCGAGTTCCTTCTGAAACGAAAGGACGACGTCCGAGGTCTGGACTACTGCTGCGACGCAGGCCACGCTCAGATGAACTTCAGCCCCCGGAGCAGGTTTGCGACGTCCAGCAGAGCCTTGTCCAACTCTGCCCCGCCCAGCTGCCCTATGTAAAGTTTCTTGGTGTGTACCTCCAGACGCTGGATCCCCATCTGCTCTGCCATTCTCTTCTCTGTCTTCTGTCCTGGTCCAAGAACTCCGTCTTCGACAATCGCAAGCATCACCACGGGCAGGTTCGCGCGACACCACGAGCCCCTGCCCTCGCAGTGCCACCGATAGGAAGACTGCCAGCAATCGCTGTTGGTGGGTGTTTGCGTGGGGTCGAATGCAATTTGGCAGCCGTAAGACAAAACACAGCATCCATCATGCCCGCAGTATCTCTTGTTGAAGTTATTCGGGTTATAAACTCGGACATTGTAGACCTTACGCAAGAATTCTGTCACATGAGCTGCATAAGGACTAAAGCTGTCTACGTCGAATCGGACACTCAAGATAATGTTCACCACGGGAGCCCCGCACAAGACAATCTTCCCGTCCGAACTGCCGCTCGCAAGAACGTTGGCGTCGTGTGGCGAGAAGGCCACTGACAAAACCCAGTCCGCATGCCCCTCCAGGCGCTGGCGGACAGTGCCCGCAGTGAGGTCCCAGAGGAACACCTTCCCATCTTTACTGCCACTCGCAAGAACGTTGGCGTCGTGTGGCGAGAAGGCCACTGACCTAACCCCGCCCGCATGCCCCCCGAGGCGCTGGCGGACAGTGCCAGCAGTGAGGTCCCAGAGGAACACCTTCCCATCTGTACTGCCACTCGCAAGAACGTTGGCGTCGTGTGGCGAGAAGGCCACTGACCAAACCACTGACCAAACCCAGTCCGCATGCCCCTCCAGGCGCTGGCGGACAGTGCCAGCAGTGAGGTCCCAGAGGAACAACTTCCCACATGCACTGCCACTCGCAAGAACGTTGGCGTCGTGTGGCGAGAAGGCCACTGACAAAACCCCGCCCGCATGCCCCCCGAGGCGCTGGCGGACAGTGCCAGCAGTGAGGTCCCAGAGGAACACCTTCCCATCTGTACTGCCACTCGCAAGAACGTTGGCGTCGTGTGGCGAGAAGGCCACTGACCAAACCACTGACCAAACCCAGTCCGCATGCCCCTCCAGGCGCTGGCGGACAGTGCCAGCAGTGAGGTCCCAGAGGAACAACTTCCCACATGCACTGCCACTCGCAAGAACGTTGGCGTCGTGTGGGGAGAAGGCCACTGACAAAACCCAGCCCGCATGCCCCTCCAGGCGCTGGCGGACAGTGCCCGCAGTGAGGTCCCAGAGGAACACCTTCCGATCCCAACTGCCACTCGCAAGAATGTTGGCGTCGTGTGGCGAGAAGGCCACTGACACAACAAAGTCCGCATGCCCCTCCAGGCACCGATGATGCGGGTCTGGAACGCTTGTCCCCAAAAAAGATGTCTCCTGTCCCATGGAGTTTAGCAGACGAGCGCTCCGAGAGCAACTGATGCGAGATCGGGCGCTCTTGCTGAGCTTCGTTTGCGCTGAACCCCGTTACCTGCCGGATGCGGAATCCGAACTGGGTCGTGAAACCCGGCTGCTTGAGCCAAAATGGCTGCGGAGGTTCCCCGTAAGGCCGTCTCCATTCATTGACTTGGAGCGCGCCCGCTATATTGCAATGCGCATCGCCCCAGGAGATATACGTAAGACGTCCCAAGGTGCCCCCACAGCCTTGGTCAATGGTCTTGCCGGCCACACCCCGAGCCGCATGTGGGGGTGAAAACGAGCGCTGGTAGAATTCGCCGGCCAAACGGGCCAGAGGCGTGCTAAGATCTCCGGTAACTGGTTAACGATATTTCTAGTTCGCGCTCGCGGGGCGGCCCCTGGGGGCCCCGCGGCGAAAAGTACCCCGACCGCCGCCCGGGCGCAGCCCGGCCACCCTTTACTCAGAGATGGTTTTCCAGTCGAAAACGCACTGGTAAGCTTAGGTATATATTACGCCTTAGGCGTTCCCATATCCCAGGCTTTGGCTCATATCGCATGAGCAAGAGAGCAAGACGAAGCATGGGATCTGGAGTAAAGGATAGGATGGGCATCGTCAATGGAAAAGGTATTTTCCGATCTCAGATACGAATCGTGCGCCTCGGCGAGGCACAATCACATATTTGGCCGGGCCCGGCTTGAGCCAGGCACGGCGGCGGTACATGCTCGATTTATACCTCGCCTTTAACCTTCTCCGTTTAAAGTCGGAGGGGGAGGAGACGAGCAGGCGCCGCACTTCTACATTATGCGGAAAAACAGTGCTAAGCAGCAGCGGCTGCCTACAAGGCAAGGGCGCGCGAGTAGCCTCGCTACCGGCGAGTTTCCTCGCTACTAGAGCGCACCTGCACGCGGGTTTCCCCGCTAGCTCGGGAGGCAGGGCCGTCCTGAGACGACCTGCCCGCCCTATACGGCGTATGTTTCTTCAGCTCGTGCTTGAAGGATTGCTGGCCGGCCATTACTTGTAGGAGCAACGCGCGGTCAATACTACCTTTGGTATGACCATCGGCAGTCATATCCCGCGTGTCACACCATTGAACGCTTTCAACGATTCCGCGCTCCATCATCTGGCGGATCCAGCTAATGTGCCCAAGCAGAGTACATTCTGTGGGCTTCTTCAGATCTTTGCTAGACAAAGACTTGAAGACAGACTCGGCATCAATAGTCAGAGTGACTTTGATACATAGACCACCCATTTCCAATATGTTCTTTAACTGTGTGGGGGTCAATGGTCCCGAGTGTAGCTCGTGGAGCGTTACAATGGTCGGGTAGCAGTCTTCCAAGTTGTGGGCTGCTGCCAGTGTTTCCGCAGAGTAGCTCGAACGCACCTGCAGTCGATGAGACTTGCAGTATGCGTCCACCAGGTGCACGACGGGTTTCCCCGCTTGCGTGTGGCCACGCCTCAGCAGGTTAGCCCCGCGGATACCATAGCCTTTGACTTCGTCGTCTTCATCTCCGTTGAGACGACGATAGCCAGAATCGCTATGCAGGTCGACTTCTCCTGTTGGGGTCATAGCTTGATACACGATCTTCTTCGGACCTGCCTGTAGTTTCCTGGTAACCGCGTTTAGTCGTCGTACCTGGATGTTTGTCGGTTCCTGGATACGTTGTAGTGAGACAACATAGACCATCAGCCATACCTGCGTGATCAACGCATAGGCTAGAGCGCCACGAAGACTGACGAACATATCAGAAATCGTCTTTGTCGCTTTGCTCTCAGGATCAGCTCCTGTGAGTTCTGGATGTGTGATAGGACGAAGCTGTTTGATGTATTCGTCCTGATCAAGAGTGACGCTCCCATCATCGGTCTTGTTATACCGAACGGCACAGTTTGTGTATGTGTGCTTGTTCAGTTTGCACTTCCCAAACGTATCTTCAACACACTTGACATACTTGTCAATAGCATCTTCCTTCCCAGTCATATTGATGTCATCAACGTGCTTGGCTGTCAAGAGGTTTGAGCTCATCTCGAACTCTTCGTCGTATGAAGTAGGCTGTAGCCCAAAGCTCCTAGTGATGGACCTGAGCTTCAGCGAGAATGCCCTGGGAGCATCCTTCGTGCCCGTCCCCGGCTTCAGACACCGAAGACAATGCTTTGATTCGTCATATGACTCAAAGCCTGGCAGTGTGCGAAGGACAGCTGCTGACCCAGGAGGTAGTGTGAAGCACGCCACACGCTCTTTCTCGCCCGTTGCCGCGGCGAGCTCGCTATAGGTCAGTCCCTTCAAGAAAGCCATATTGATGTCCAGGGAAGCGATGATCCAAGCTTTGTTGCATGCAGCAGAACTTGCGAGCAGTCTCTGGCTTGACCTCCTTGCCGTGCCAGAGAAGGTTTCGACATCAAAGGCTTCAAGGTCCATGAAGCCACGGAGTACCAAGCGTAACCTGATCGTCCTTTCCATTTCGCCCTTTTCGTTCTTGACAAACTTCCATTTGTATACGTAGCGTGAAGTCATGATGTTAGACGCTTTGCTCAAGTCAGTCATCTGAAAGCATTTATTGTCAAGCCAAGTCTTCAATTCTGTGTAAAGGGCTTTGGAAACTTTGACCGGATTCGCTTGAATGTCGGCCTTCGTGAGTAGATCGTCTTCCTTGACGACCACGGCACGTTTGGAGGCAGCACTGACGTATACTCGCATGGTTGTGACGCTGCTGTCATCCAACAATCGGTGTTGCTGCTCGGACAGGACGACTTTGGACATGTCTGCTGCGAAGCAGAGCTCGATGTACTTCCCGTGCTCAGCGGAGTCCAGATCATATTTGCGATCCGGATCCGTGGAGCATAAAGGAACGTAGTAAGAAGTGTCCATGTCGTATCCTGGCGGGTGACCCCGCTCCGGCAAGTGGCCTTGCACATCTTCACAGGTCGTAGAGACTAACACACACTGTGTGTCTGTCATGTATGTGGGAACTGTATGCATGACTTCTTCTGTGTCAGCTTCAAGGAGTGTTCTGTCATCCATCAGTTCAGCATACCACGACTTCAAGACAAAGGCATCCAGATCTTCTTCTGTTTCCTCTATGATGGTCGGGAGCCGACCATCGTTCTCCGCAGGAGGCTGCTCAGGAGCAGCTGCTGGAGGTGACTCGCTTGGTGGTGGACCATCAGCGAGTTCCTCAAACTTAGTGAGGTCTCGGTCAAATCCAGCAGGCGGCTTCCTGGATTTAAGACACTGGATGATGCGTGAGTGTGTAGATCCTGTGATGTCGTAGATGTTCAAGGCAGTGCCATCAGCTTCATAGTAATGAAAACCAGGGGTCACATCATTATCATAGTGCACTAGTGTACAGCTGTCTGCATAGGGTGCAGCAGGCAACTTCGTCAGGCTCTTGGCAAGTCGTACAGCAACAACGTTTTCAATACGAAAGTAGTTGCGTATGAGGTACTGAAGAGCCAAGTGCACCTTAGGCGAAAGTCGGCTCGCAGCAGTCATCTGCAGCCGACCCTGTTTCGCTGGTAGATATCCGAAAGTCATGGCGGGTTTCCCCGCTGGCAGACCGGCAATAAAGGCCAATACTGTCCGAAGGGCCGTATTGTCCGATCCTATCTCGCGGACCATAAGTGCTTCGATGTACAGCGTGTGTCGTGTGTCAGGATACTGTACTCGCACCTCGCGACTACCGACCTTCACGATGACCTGGCCTCGGTCAGGTTCGTTGCGGATGACCGGGTATGGACCACTCCATCCACCCCAGTCGTCTTTCGTGGTGGTCGGGCGATGATAGTCCACGAGATCTCCCTCTTTGTAGTGAAATTCACCCGTAGCAGTAGTCTTCGTACGGAGAGCCCTGTTCGTCTTGGCAACCGCAGTGGCCTGCGTGATTGCCTCCAGACTAACCCTCCTGATTGTTTCCTCCCTTGAGTGATCTGATGATTCAGCGGACTGATCATGATCCAAGACAGGGAAATCGGGAAGCATAGCTGGTTGTCTGCCATACAGCGCATTGTACGGAGACACTTCATTGTAGAAGGTAAATGCGCTGCTGGCAAACAAGGCTTCATGTAAAAGACGAGTGAAATTCAGGGGAATATCTAATCTATTCAATTCTTCTCCCATCACGTGTATGAGGTGTCGCAGGATGCCGTTCCTAGCTTCGATAGTCGTGGCGTGTTGGCCACGCGCTCGGATACGAAGCTCTGTTCCCTTAGCCTTAAGGATGGCCTTTGCTGTATCGTTATTCAGCGCTCCTTCCCCATCGGGGTATAAGATTTTAGCAGGGCCATGTTGCATCCAAGTTGTGTGACAGGCATCGAGAACAGTATGCATGGTCTTATCAGGAATCTCTGTGCCAGCTGCCCAGCGAATACAACGGTCGATGATGGGAAAAACAATATGTTCCTGTTTGTAAAAGAAAAGATCACATTCGACTTCCTCGTTGAAACGTCCTGGCAGTGACACAGAAGGCATCACCGTGTTGCCTGGTTTGTCCCAGGCTCGACATTCTCTACACGAGTCGCAAATGCCTTTGATCAGACTCAAACGGGTTTCACCCAGACCAACCTTAGTTAGAATCATCCGCATTTTTGGCTCCTTGGCATGAAACCATCTCAAGTGGAGTTTGCGGAGTTCTCGCTGCACTACAGCTGGGTCAAAGCTGCGCAGGTTTTGGAGGCTGAGCTGAACGTCGAAGCGAGTCCAATCAGGGAGCCTTGGCCTTGGCCTCGGCTCTGCTTGAGGCTGCGGCGGTGGTGGAGGATCTCCTCCCTCCATGCGTCCGCGCCTTGCTGCAACTTGTGGCAGTCTACGGTGATCGTCAGAGCTGCCAGCGCCAGTGTTGCCACCATTAGCCCCTTCGGCTCTGGTGATGTCATGGCTGCTGGCGCCTGCGGTTGGATCGCCCTCACCAGGCCGTGGCGGCCTAGGCGCGCGTATGCGCGCTCTCGCGGCCGGCGCCGCTTTTGCGGCTGGCGCCGCTTCTGCGGCTGGAGCCGCTTCCGCGGCTGGCGCCGCAGGAGCGGCTTGCCCCGCCGGGCGCGGCTGACCAAAGTTATCTGGCAGCTTCCATTTTTCGGCGAATCTGCATTGGCCAGATATCTTGGTGTGGTGAGGATTACTCTTCTGATATTCCTTCTTACA